CTACATCTACTAGCATATTTAGCTACATCTACTAGCATATTTAGCTACATCTACTAGCATATTTAGCTTCATCTACTAGCATATTTTCTCTACATCTACTAGCATATTTAGTTACATCTACTAGCATATTTAGCTACATCTACTAGCATATTTAGCTACTTCACTGACTCAGTCCTTCTGACGGTGAAGCGATGAACAAGCTGAACAGCTCTGATGTGTATCAGTGTCTCCACAGTAATAAGGTCAGTGGTATTTTGTTAAAAGAGGTAGGACACAATCTTATTGACCTTAAATCAGACAAAGACCCAAAACCCTAAAGTCCTACATCACTGATCTTGGGTTAATTACAGAGAAAATCATAAAACTGAAGATGAACAAATATATAAAGCTGTGACCTCCATACACCTGAAATCATCTCTGATGTTCTCGTCACTGTTTTCAATCCTTCTGAGGATCCGGTGTCTCTTCTCTGGAGGTTTATTGTCGTCCAGACACAAAGTAGGATGCAGGTTTTCCTCCGTCGGCTGTTTTTCAACAAAGTGAAATGAGCTCACAGACAGAGTTTTGGGTGGTCTCTTCAAGTTCACATTGTTCAGACACGTTCTTCTTAATTCCTCATCTGCAGGTAGGAGATGAAACTAAACCTCTTTTCACAGGAACTCTTTGTTTTGGGTCCGTGTTCAAACTCTGTTGTTGTAGACGTTGATTTAGTTTAGTCTGGTTGCTCTGCAGCCCTGAACACAACAGGTACCTGAACGCAGCACAGCCTTTTTGTTTAAAGCAGTTTTAGGACAGCAGCAAGCAGACCCTCTTCCAAAGTCAATTTGTTGTCTTAAAACAAGATTTGCACAAACCACGCTGAAGTTTTTGAAATTAGAATGGTTTTAAAACGGCACCACGCTACTGCAGTTTCTGTGTTCAGACTAGCCATTAGCTATTCAGTCCTGTCAGAAATAAACCGTTTCTCCACCCTGAGGTTGTTCAGGACAATATCTGCAACAGATCAGAAGAGAACTCTCAGCTGTTTCACAGAACTTCTCATCAGAACAGTCAAACTCTCTCATGTTCCTGGCTCCGAGTATAACGTGCTGTTCCACCGACTGACTCTGGCTAGTTGTTCTGAAGGTACATCCTTGAAATCATTAGTTAGTTTAAACCATCCTGATTTTACCACAAACCTAATGCTAGCTGGTGTGCAGAAGTTCTGTCAGGCCAGGGGAGCGCTGCTGGTTTCCCTCTGCTCGTCCCTGAGGCGTCTCAGGGAAAGACGGTGGCGAAAACTGCAGCTGCAGAAAACGAACTTGTTACCCCGTGGAGTTATTTCAGGATGCAATGGAGATGTTTCATGTCTGACTGAGACGCCGTCCTCTTCTTCCCTCTGTGTCTGTTGACAGGCTGGGCGGAGGACCGGATGATGCCAAGGAGATCATGCGGCACAGTTTCTTTGGCACGATTGACTGGCAGGACGTTTACGACAAGAAGGTGAGAGCAGGATTCAGACGCCACACGTCATCTTCACTTCAGAGGCCCATCAAACGACGTTTCAGTGGTATTTTTGGATCAGGGTTACCTCATTTATCTAAAGACGTCTGACTGGAATGGAGACCAGAATAGAACAAAAGTTAAAATTACCTCATCGGCATCTTATTTAAACATTTAGTTAAATTGGGCTCTGTCTGATTTATTCTCATTGATGTGATGTCCCAAAGTTCCTTTAAGGAGTTTCTATAAATTTCACTCAATAAAGGAAAATAATTTACGTCTTAAAGAAGCTAGATACCATCTTCTTGTAAAATAGTTCTTCAATGAGTCATTTTCACTACAGAACTTTTCAATTGTGCCAACTAGGGATGCACGATATTGGATTTTTGGACGATAACCGATGCCAATACCGATATTTTGTATACGTTCCTTTGTCAGAACATAGCATCTTATTTAGGCTTTTTTGCTACAAAAATTGTGCAACAGCTCTAAGAGCTGGTGACATATATTCAGTCACAGCCATATGAGATGTATATCACTTTGTCTTATATTAAATGAAAAGTGTTAAATGTTATTTATTAGCATTACCTGCGATGCTGTCTCACTTGTGGAGGCTTGTTCCAGGTTCCTATAGCTGCAGAGTGGGATCCTCTGCACTCCTGTGCACTTTTTTAAGTTCAAAGTTTTTGTCTATCCATTGTTCCGTAAGACTAATCATGCTAACGGGGCTAACACGACGTCTAAATGTCTGTGGTACAACTCACCCAACAAGTCGTGCTATCGGCTGTTAGCTTCTCAACGACGTCAGAAATGACGGCTGGTAACTCGGGTAACGTTACGTCGGAAAAAAAAACTCAGACTGCGGAAGATGTAGCGAGGCTCAACGTAGTCCATAAATCTTTGGAATCAGACATCCTCACCAATGAAAAATAAAACTCCCACACTGCCGACATTTTGAATTTTACTCTCCACCGTGAGATCAGGTAGGTGCACGTGACGTCATCACGTTGTGCGGCCGCTGCAGGCAAAAACGGCGCCTTTTATATCAGTGAGTTATTTTAATGGAATGGCCGATATTGAATTTTAACGCTTATATCGGCTGATACTGATACAATGCTGATAATATTGTGCATCCCAAGTGCCAACAGCATTTTTCTCAGTGACACTGATAAAGAAGAAACATTGAGTATTGTAAAAAATCTTTCAGATAAAAGATCAAAAGACTGGATGGACATGGACATAATGTTTGTTAAGGATATCATGAGTTATGTTATTGAACCATTTACATGTAATTTATCATTCTCAACAGGGACATTTCCAGAAAATATGAAAATAGCAAAGATAGTTCCTCTTTATAAGAATGGGGAGAAATGTGTGTTCATTACAGGTCCTTCTCAAAAAATTAGCATATTGTGATAAAGGTCATTATTTTCCATAATGTAATGATAAAAATGAAACTTTCATATATTTCAGATTCATTGCACACCAACTGAAATATTTCAGGTCTTTAATTGTTTTAATACTGATGATTATGGCATACAGCTCATGAAAACCCCAAATGCCTGTCCCAAAAAATTTGCATATTTCATCCCACCAATGAAAGACAAGTGTTTTTAATACAAAAAACGCCAACCTTCAAATAATCATGTTCAGTTATGCACTCAATACTTGGTCGGGAATCCTTTTGCATGAATGACTGCTTCAATGCGGCGTGGCATGGAGGTAATCAGCCTGTGGCACTGCTGAGGTGTTATGGAGGCCCAGGATGCTTCGATAGCGGCCTTAAGCTCATCCAGAGTGTTGGGTCTTGTTCTCTCAACTTTCTCTTCACAATATCCCACAGGTTCTCTCTGGGGTTCAGGTCAGGAGAGTTGGCAGGCCTATTGAGCACAGTAATACCATGGTCAGTAAACCATTTACCACTGGTTTTGGCACTGTGAGCAGGTGCCAGGTCGTGCTGAAAAATGAAATCTTCATCTCCATAAAGCTTTTCAGCAGATGGAAGCATGAAGTGCTCCAACATCTCCTGATAGCTGCATTGATCCTGCGCTTGATAAAACACAGTGGACCAACACCAGCAGATGACATGACACCCCAGTGACTGTGGAAACTTGACACTGGACCTCAAGCAATGTGAATTATGTGTCTCCTCTCTTCCTCCAGACTCTGGGACCTTGATTTCCAAAGGAAATGCAAAATTTACTGTAATCAGAGAACATAACTTTGGACCACTCAGCAGCAGTCCCAGGCGAGATGCTTCTGCCTCTGTTTCTGTTTCAAAAGTGGCTTGACCTGGGGAATGCGTCACCTGTAGCCCATTTCCTGCACACACCTGTGCACAGTGGCTCTGGATGTTTCTACTCCAGACTCAGTCCACTGCTTCCGCAGGTCCCCCAAGGTCTGGAATCGGCCCTTCTCCACAATCCTCCTCAGGGTCCGGTCACCTCTTCTCGTTGTGCAGCGTTTTCTGCCACACTTTTCCCTTCCCACAGACTTCCCACTGAGGTGCCTTGATACAGCACTCTGGGAACAGCCTATTCGTTCAGCCATTTCTTTCTGTGTCTTACCCTCTTGCTTGAGGGAGTCAATGATGGCCTTCTGGACAGCAGTCAGGTCGGCAGTCTTACCCATGATTGCAGTTTTGAGTAATGAACAAGGCTGGGAGTTTTTAAAAGCCTCAGGAAT